GGGGCTCTCCGCCCGCAGATCTCGGGCCAGCAGGCCGCGGAGCTCGGCGACGCTGTCCGGGGACGCAGGTGACGGCGGCTCGGTGGCCTCGAAGGGCAGCCCCGCCTCCTCGTCCTGGACCACTGACACCACCTGCTTGGCGCGCCGCCGCTTCTCCGAGAGGGTGGCGGCTTCCGGGGAGCCGGGGCTCTGCCCGGGGTCACCGCTGCCACTGTACTCCTCGCCCCAGTCGATGGGGGCGCCCTCGGCCAGCAGGTGTAGGTTGGGGTCGCTGTTGTGCATGACCACACTGTCCCGGTAGAGGTTGTGCTTCCTCTGCACCGCGGCCTCCTTCACCGCTGTGGGGCCAGGGGCGGGGGTCAGACCACAGCCCCCCGCTGACCGCCACCCCATGTACCCCCCTGCCTGCCCCGCGGTGTCACCACTGGACTGACTGACTCCCGTCCCGCTCCTGGAAGGGGCAAAGCCCAAGCCGGTGGCCGCCATGTCACCTTCAGCCGCTCCCCAGAATGCCAAGGGCCCACCAGAACGCGCAGGCAGACCCAGGCCTGCCTTCCTGGCCCCCGGCCACCGGCAGCCTGACCCACCCTGGGCAGCTGCCTGGCCGTTCCCTGCAGCCCAGCCAGCCCCGCCGGGAAGGCCGCCGGCCGCCCCTCCGTCACCCCTGGCACTGAGGTCCGGGGGCCCCAGCCGGGGGACACGCACCCTGCAGGATGTCCTTCATGACCGTCTGCAGCACCACCTCCTCGTACGTGTTCTCCACCAGGATGAACCTGGCAAAGTCCTCGAAGATCAGCTCCTGGAACCTCGGCAGCTCCTGCCCAGGTGAAGGGGACGAGGGGTGTGCAGTCAGGGGTGGTCAAGGCCCCTGGGCAGGCGGGGAGGGGGCACAAGCGCCGTGTCCACGGGCAGAGCCTGAGGCCTCTCCGGCAGGGCCTGGCCACAGTCAGGGCAGGGGGAGCATGGCCAGGTGCGCATCGACTTGTAGGTGGGGGCGGGGCCAGGTGCTCACAGACTTGCAGG